TACAAATGAACTGGTCTTCCGGTGGGGAGAGTGGCTATCCGGCCGGGCGCAAGTGAGAAATCAAATTTTAAATCATGCATGAGGTCCGCCAAAGTTTTCATCAATATCTAGATAAAACTACTATATGGGCCAAGTCGCGATGGGCCTCGTTGGCCGCAGTGGTGACCATCTTCGCTCTCCGAGTCGTGTTGGCTGAAGGGTGGTACGTTTCGGCCTACTGTCTGGCGGTTTTCATCCTCAATCTATTCATTGCCTTCATCACGCCACAGAAAGACCCAGAAACGGACGAGTACATCCTACCAGTCGGGTAAGCCGCCTCTAGACTATAACAGATCTTCTTGTAGCAATGCTGACGGAGAGTTCAGACCCTTTGTAAGGAAACTGCCCGAGTTCCACTTCTGGAGCAAGTCCATGTACGCCTCATCCCTGGCGCTCATGTCCACCGTAAGACCGCTAACCCCCCCCCCCTCCTGCTTCCGTATTGATTAAGCACCCAGTCCACCCCATCCCTAGGCTGCCCCACCCCCCGCTGCATGGTCCGCTCCCCCTGGTTGGTCTCCAGTGTTGTTTTGCAGTGCTCCAGAATTTTTGACCTGCCGGTATTCTGGCCGGTTTTGTTGTTCTACTTCATTTTCGTCTTCATTTTGACGATGAAACACCAGATAAGCGATATGATTCAGCACGGCTACATGCCCTGGTCCGCCCGAAAGGTTCGATATTATGGCGATATTGGTGGCGGTAGGTAAATCTGTGATGAAAGACCTGCAAGTGTCAGCCAGAGGTACAGACGCAGACGTACAGGAATACGCAGAGGACGTGGAGATGCAGATGACGTGGAAATACACGGAGATGCAGACTCCCCCCCCTTGCTGCTTAGTGGGGTTGCTGCAAAGTTGGACGCGAATTGAGTTGGATGGTAGCACACGTGTGTGGCGACGCTTTTGTAGATGCCGATTAAGTGAATGTAAGCGCGATTTGTAACAGTGCAAAATTGAATGGTTCTACATGGCGTTAAGGAGGAGGAG